CGTACGACTGCCTTTCTTGTATATTGCCACTATAATCGATCCGCTCCAGTTAGCCGGGCAATCTCTTCTTGCAGATATGTTCAAATAGGGAGAACAGTGCTTTGCAGAGAACCACACTTCCATCCGTAACTATTGCATGTAGGAGGGATTCCGGGTCAGCAGCGCGTAAACGATTGAGAACTGTGACCGCGTTTCGGACCTCGGCCTCCGACGGAGGATCTAAACTAACCGTGAATGGCTCGTCCTAAATCAACTGAGTAGGAAGAGATCCAGGAACTGTGGGCCAACTGAAGAAACTTTGAAAGTGTTCCACCCAACGAGCTATGCGGCGTTCCTTAGTGTGTATCAGTGCACCCGCGCTGTCTCTGATTGTCCCAATGACACCTGGTTTCCTTGGACCAGTGGTACGAATAAGCTAGATGAGCTTGCAGTACTTGTTTACTGCTCTTGCGTTCGGCATTTCTTGAGCCCAACTGCTCCACCAGGCTTCCTTGTGATCACGCTGGCTCCGCTTTAGTTCGCGCCAAGTAGTCCATCTGGTCACGTTGTGCTCAGAGCCAGCCTGGAGGTTTCTTCTAGATTCTAACAGGTTGGCGGTGGCGATCGTTAGTGCCACAAGCAGATGCTCCTACGGCCGACATCCTATTCTGCTGAAGCTCAGTATCATTAGGACAAGCAGCGAAAGTTCGGTAGGCTTGCCTGACCGAGGGCTGAGACAGCGTCTCAGTTGTCAATCGGAGGAGACGATTGGTGCGCCTCCGGGTAAAGTTCATGGAGAAAGGACAACGTACTAAGGCACGATCAGAGTCAACGAAGGTATTCCAGTATGAACCATGGAATCAAGCCACATGTAACCAATGGCAATGTAGTAAATTTGGGTCCATCGCTGGCCAGCTACAGGAGGACGCCAAGGGGCACTTCGGCGCCCGCTGTGTCTAAAAGCAGTGCTACTAAGAAACAATTGGTGCTCCGCACACAGTTGTAGCAGACGCTCGTCGTTGTCAGTCCGTTCAGAGTTAAGCCCATAAGTACCGCCCTGCTGAGCAGCTGAAGAGCTCAGGCTCCCTACTTGTACGTTTATTTTCCTTACAATACTATAATGTCCGAACTTGTAGTACTGCGTAGTAGCGCGTTCAGTTCGTGATAGAATGTGCCCCTGACAGCATTAGAACTACAGTCGGTGGGAGCATAGGCGGAAATCGCAAACTAACAGCGTTTTGTATTACCTCATGAATCAACCTTAGCTGATGTCGTCAAACGGGCTGCACATAAACGGCTGTTCACCGGAATCCAATCAACCAACCGTGGCTCAGCCTTGGAGCTTAGAATCATATCTACACCAGCTTGACCCGTGAGTTAGTTAGATGGGATTGGATTGACCCATAGTTTGATAACATTAAGAACTCAGATATTATTGTTGCTAAACACTTCAGTTCCGTGCACCTTGGTGGTATTAACTGTGTCCTTCTTTCAAGTAGCACTCTAGACGTAGATCATCCAGTTTGTACGACATGACTATTCTTCTGTTGTGACCAAAATACTCGTTATTTTATAGTAGATTCAAAACAGAGACTTTCGGATTCACAACTTACATCTGTGATTATTGTAAGGCCGGATCGTGGTGGCTAATTGATAGTTTAACTATGTGGTTACGTTATTTTTCCGATATTATTCCAGAAAGGGAACAAATTGGTCGTTATAGACCTTGTATTAATCACCTAAGGAGTTGTAATTGAGAAAGTATTGATGATTAGTTATCACAGGTAGATTATCACAAACAAGGCAGGAAGAGACACAGAGCTTCACACATTAGAACCCTATATTTGGACTCACCAAAAGCGGCCAGCAAGTCATTCAAAATTGACTGTTCGCTTAATGTTATCTTGGGAGAGGGAGTTTAGCAGCGATTTCGGCTAGTGGAATCAACTACTCCATAATTTAGGCTTATACACTCAAATGAGATAAAACCTTAACTGACCAATTAAAAAATGTATGACAGCGCGGAACACCTGTTGGTGAAACTGTATGGTCCTTGCATACACCAAACATTGAAACTTTGTTTACCTGGTTCGTGTGACTGACACAGCAGAATAATTGTATTCGCGAAGAGCGTCAAACGATAGGGATTTATCTAAACTTCAAATATCTCTACGGATATTTTGAAAGATTTCACTGGTCGTATTGCAAAATTCCTGTACAACACACGACATGTAGTCAGTTGAAAAACTTGTGAGAAACGGTCAGCACTTGCCAACAGCAGTACACATCTAATTTCAAGATCACTCCGTACGCTGATAACCATCTCCCACAGGGCACAAAGACACCCTTTCTTACGTTATTCTGTGAACGTTGATGAGCTGAAAACGTAGATGTAGGTGCACGAACCCAGCTATCATGACGCAGTTGACTTCCGTGTAAAAACACTGTAGATGACTGTCTATGAATCCGTACGGATATTTTTCAAGATTTTAGCAACAAATTTTCACCCTAGAGTCTTACACATGGGAATATCGTACCTAATACTGCAAATCAGTACCTGGTAACTCATACCAAGATCTACAACAATATGTACGGTATAATTACCTAACCACGAAAGGCTCATGTGAAGAAACGAAAAGTCACCATGCTATAACATTAGGTGATCAAAGATTTTTTCCATTTTGATCTTCAGCGCTATGGAATCCACGATCTGTTCCGGGGATGGAATGTTTACGGATCCATCGCTGATCCAATACAAGTATAGTATGGCACACCCCGAGGCTCCATCATTGGACAACACTTAAGCTAGATGTTCATAAACAGATTACAACAACCAGTATTTCAAGCACCTAGTAACAAACTCGGAGGTCAATACATGGACAAACCCCCGTAGAACGGAACACATCAACGTTGAAAGGGCTAGCAAACAGTCGACTCAAAACACCCGATGGTTTGCTATTGCGGTAAACGCATGACGATTTGGATACATCGTCAGAAGTCTTGATAAGGTGACAAACTATCCGGCCAGCTTTCCCTTGAGATCGACTTCGGAATGATCGTGAAGGATGGCTTCGTTGTTCTAAGCAGGCATAACGGCAATCGAGGAAATCCAAAGAGCCCTTTAGTCTTCAGTGACTACACCTGCACTAGCTTCATATCGACTGCCCCACTGAATGTTAACAACAATGACAGGTGTGCTATTGCCTGCCCCGCGGCTACTCATTATCGGCAAAGGGACACATAAGGCATGTATTGCCTTCATACAGGCAGTGGTTAACTGTCTTAGGTTCATATGGTGGAAGATACATGACTGCGCGACCCTCCTTCACCCGCGTCTCAGATCTCGAACGGTCTTGTTCATGTGTGCACATGTTTGCTGCATATTAGTTACGACAGAAGACTGAGAAGCTCCCAAGTGAAGTTGGCAGGACACAATGGTCGCCTTGATGGCTGCATCGACCCCAACCTACTTGTGTACCGGCTGTGAAGCAATTTTACAGGATCAGTTGCGCCTCTCTCAGCATGGGATGTTGTCGACAAGAAACTCTAGTTAGCACTACATGACGTGAACTGATCCACGAGTTCTGCTTGGCTTTACTGGTAACTGTGACCAAGGAAAGACTAAATAGACACATTTCAAGGCAGTAGCCATTAGCAATCAAAAGATTGCGACCAAGCAGTTTTCCAGATATAGAGGTCGCGAGTGCAACGTACCAAGAAAATTCGTTTTGTCTATATACTGAGCATTTTCCAGTAGTTTCCTTTTTCTGCATAAGCCTAGATTACTCAAATGCACATGCGCTAAAGTTGGTTTATCTTACTTTTGTAGTTCATTGAACCCAGCCTACATTTACAAATGGAAAGTTCGTCTTTCATCTTCCACAAAATGTTAATTTATGCATGTTGCCGAGAAATCCTAGTGTATTCAGTGTGTTAGCTCATTTCAGAAATTAGCTCGGTTTTATTTTCTAAACCACCCGCAATTTACACTGTGTTAACACCTCACACTTATACGACAATTCCTTATTTACTTTTCTTGTCTTAGTTGAGGGCTCCTGTACTAAGCAAATTACTTCAAAAACGTATAAATTTTGATGGAGATAGCATTGGAGCCCGATATGCTAACATCAAGTAGTGAATTCTTGTCTCTTTCTGAAGGACAGTACTGCTTGGGTTTGGCGAAGAAACCGTTATGATAACAGCTTTCGTGCAGCTGCAAACTGCATTTAGCTAGCGTGTACTGCCATTCGTATTCTTGAATAACTCTTACCTGAGTACACAATTACACTATATTAAAATTTCTTTACTATCTTTATTATTCACAGTAGAGTTGGTTCGATTTGGGATTGACCTGTCGCGAATGCACGTACCTCTATAAATATGCATCATCAAGCGTGCCTGTTAGCAATTTCAGCATAACGTGACTATCAGTTATAAATTATAGGGATTAGTATTAAACTAGTACTCCTTCAGCCAGAGTGCGAAGTTTCTCAAGGGTTGCACCTAAACCTCTAAATGAGCGTGGAATCTCAAAGCAACCAAACTGTCTCTGTTCTATTATCAGAATCAGCTGTATTGCACGGAATTTTAGTGAAACGATGATAAATAAAAAGCAGCAGAACGATACGGATTTACATGACAAAGCGAGCAGCCAGCTTGTCGCGAGCGAACGAAGCAGACAATTGGACGCCTACGCATTATCGCCTAGACGTTGATTGGTTCATATTTGGCAGCGCTGGAGTGAGTTTGTTTGACTGATTCATAGGAAGTCTCACGAATGCAGAAACGTTGCTAGATATGGAAGTGACCTAGTTGTTTACATCGAGGCTTTTACAAACTGATCATGCTGTCATTTTCGCTGAGCATGCTTTGTCAAACAAACTGTTTGTCCCTGAAGGGCTGTGCTGCGGCACGTGTGGAGTTTCCAAGCAGGCCGGTTAGAGCGCTCAAGTGGCCCGACCAAATTCGTACAATTGAGATACGAAGGTACTTAATAAAAGTTGGTGTATCCGGGGACTTACCTTCCACTGTTGTCGTACGTGACGTTCGGACAAATAGGGATTTATTCTTTGTATGAGTCGTAATATTTGGTGTTCATCCAAGTACCCTGTGCGTGCTTGATCTGCATCGGTAAACACCCGTTGAAGCCATCTGTAAACGGGAGGGTTAAAACCTCAGGAATGCGAAAACAACAGTAGACTTCTGCATTGCTGGTTCGGCGTTGATGATTGTGGTAATTGCGGTATGGTAAGCAATAATTTTTGAGCCGAAATTAATGAGCATTAACGTGTACGAGAACACATAGTTCAAAAACTGACGCTGAAAAGGGGGATTATTAAGACTAATAAAGCAAATGTTAAAACGCTCAACCCAAAGACAGGTCGAGCAACAGTGTAATATTTAAATGTGGCATGTTAGATATTTGACCACAACTTTAACGCAACTAAACAACTAAGTTAGTTTAAGACTGAAGGAAAGCACACTGGTGGCTTGCAAGATCATGACAACTAAATTTTCATGGTAGAGATTTGCTGATCAGCCCATTGTATTGTTTTGTACCCCCGGCAGCGGTTTGCTGGGTTTGCAGATGGTGTATCGAAGATGTGATACAGTGAACCAAGGTTGTTGTAACGAAGTGCATGAAAGCAATTTCGATATCCAAACCCTTTTAGCATGTACGTATTGTGGGAGTAGAAATTGCTACCTGCGTGATACCGTTCCAGTGTTCTTAAATCCGAAGGAATGTCCTTCCAAGGATAAGGAATAGTGATGTGAGAATCACGTTGTTCTATGTGACTGCTATTATAAGGTTAGTCGTTTAACGAACTTTCAGGTAGCAGTGCATACGTGAGGGAGACCACTCAGCTACTCATAAATATATATCAGCAAAGCTCACTAAACTATTCGGGTGCCTTCAGCCTTTGCTAACTCAAAGTCCGTCAAAGTAGGCTTTATGCACCCAGACAGGTGCGTTTTCAGCAGGTTACACTATCATTGCGGATGGTGAGGTATATGAACTTTGTGTTACAGAAAATAATAAAACGCGTAAGAATTTCAACACTTCTCACTCGAGCAAATAATTGCGCATCACACTGATAGTTTTGGTTGGGTCAACAAGCAAGCGGGACAGTTCCGGTAGCCCGAGAATTGCGTTAGGATACAGTACGTGAAAAGAAAATCTTAAATTTGGAGCTTATGTTTTTGATAGATAACAATGTAGTGGATAAAGAGGGTCGTTTAGAATTTTGGAAGAAAATCTGATACAGGCGTCTAGATAATTTAAAACAGTTAGTTCCCTTTAGTAATTTGAAAAGCGCAGTAAGAAGACGAAGACTGGCAAATGCACGCATTTCGTATTGTCTCATCAGTGCCTTTAACAATAACTCGCAATAATATTTATTCAGTGAAGGGTGCGACCAAACATACATACAAACAGACAAATAGACCAACACATGATAAGTGAGACAGGGTTATCACCCCTATCCCCAGGGCAGTCTAATGCTGACCGATAATTGTTTCTGAACACAAAGCATCGGCTTAATCCGGTTAATTGCAATCGCCTCTGCGAAACGGAGGAGGCGAGAATTGGTGTGTTGTAATAGGATTGTGAACGCCGAATTGACCTCGACTCGGTGACCTGTGGTCAATAGGTGTCGGCCGATCGAAGAGGCTGGTGGCTTACGCAGACAAGCAGCTTGACTCTGGCCAGTTTCCTGCGCGGTCGAACGTTGAACCCACTTAGGTATATGCTCCTTCATTCGGGAACTCAATGTTCTATCGGTCCTGCCTATGTAACTGGCGCCGCAGTCACAAATGAATTGGTAAATGCAATGCGATTTGGCCCCGATAGACTGAGCCTCCTTTACAGAAGGAAGTGGCAGTTTTTGGGTTTTGTTAATGACAACGACCTTTGCGGCATAGTAAGTTGTCTGCATGGCACAGATCAGACGCCTTGTGGTCCTCAACGAGGAGACGTCACCTTTGAATGGCAGTTCAATGATTACAGGCTTCTTAGGTACCGTGTGAACTAGGTCCCTTGGTCGTACTTGACTATGTTTCTCGATGAACCTTCGGGGGTAGCCGTTTTCGATGAGCGTGTTGGTAATCAACTGTAGTTCGTCAGCCAGGCAATCAGCAGAGCAGATTCGTCTGGCACGGCTAATCAGGGTTCTCACGAGCGTCCGCTTGTATCGCATTGGTGTGAAGCTAGTGAAATGCAGATACTGCCCGGACCATGTTGGTTTCCTGTAGACAGACCTCTTAATCTGCCCGTTTTCTCTGCGGCTGATAAGGATATCTAAGTACGGAAGGCAATTTGCTTCTCTACCTCACAGGTGACCCGCAAGTTATAATGCGCAGAATTTAATTGCTTTACCAACTGCTGCATCTGATGCTCCGATGAGCAAATTGCCAAAATATCATCCACGTAGCGTTTGTAGTATGGAAGTCGAGATATTTCTCCAGACATACCTCGCTCTACCATTAACATAAAGAAATCAGCAAGTACTGGGCCCAATGAACTGCCCATCGCTACTCCATCAATCTGACAGTACGGTGTGTTTCTGAAGTGAAAATTGACGTTCTCCGTACACAACAACAAAGAGTCTCTTAGTAGCTCAACTGGCATCGGTAGGGGACACCGCGAACTTTCTGCTAGTTCACAAATGTAATCAACAGTTTGGTGCAGGGGAACATTGGTAAAAAGCGATTCCACATCTAAAGAGCACATGACCTTGTCGGATATATTAAGTATGTCCAGGTCGTCCATAAGCTCGAAAAAATCTTTGAGGCTGTATAGATTGGCCCACTCTCGCAGAGGAGAAAGCAATTTCACCAGCCAGCGAGCCAGTTTATGTTGAGGTGCGTTTACCATCGATAGAATCGGTCTGAGTGGCACCCCACTCTTATGTACTTTCGGTAGCCCGTATAGCTGAGATAATTGTTGAAAATAAAATCCACAAGAGACTATCTAGGCAATTTGGTGCATCTGGAAATAAGCTTTATGGACCATACAACCAATGCATTGTGCTTTTGTTTAACCCAGGGAAGATTACAGGAGAACGGCAGAGTCAAATTTGGCAGTTTACATGCAGGCACAAATCTAAGAATCAGATCACTAGGTTCTGTAAGTAGTTCAAGTAGAAGAGCATAAAAAATGACAACCGTTTAACCTTAGCAAACGTTTCGGCAACATGAATAGACTAAGATAGATTTCGGGATAAAAAAGACCCCTAGAAATTTTAATATGTGACCATCTGTGTATGAATTGATAACAAACTGCTAATGGAGAACTTGTGTCCTAAAACAATTTGTAATTTGTCAGCTGGAAGAAACGAGAAAGTTAAGTCACGACATTTAGAAGAGTTTAAAAATAAGGATCGGGATGAGGACCAAAGCAAGAGCTTATCTAGTACGTGGTATGACAGATTTTTGAAATGTTTTGATATTTGACCTTGCTGGGGTACCAGACCATGAAAATACATTTTCACAACTTTACCAGAAATGTTTAGTATTTCTCACAAGTCAAAATCTCGCAAACGCCTTATATAGTATCGTAGGAGACCATTGAGTCCACCTTACTGAACAAAGGTCTGCAATTAACATTGTCTAAGTCTATGGACATAGGCATATTGGTGCTGTATCTGAACAACTGGTTATCCATTCGCTCTGGGTGACTGATAACTCTAAACAAACCAAATGCTCAATGTGTATGTGAGGCCCCGTGTAGGATAGCGCGATTCAGGCCTGAAACTGCTGCTTAAAACGCGATCTGGCTGCACTGAATACCGCACAGCGAAGGGCAACCAAGAATCTTAAGCGAATGCTCCACTGTCATACCATTTGTGACTGAAAACTTTAGGAGTGTACAGCGGAAGTTATCGTCGTTGACGGCGCGACTTCGTTCTTGCGTACCAGATCTTAAAAAACCTCTATCAAGCTTGCCGCCAACTGCCGAAATTAAACCACAACACAAACATGAAGGAACACTAGCTGAAACTGACTACGCCATAAAATCGGCTAGAATGCCGCCGGAACTATTTTTCTCTTCGAATTTGTCACTCCTGGAACGCACTTTTGACTTTTGTCATTTCTGCGCCCAAGCCAGTTGTTATTAAAAACGAATCGATGATGCATTACAACATCTGCTTTACCTGATTTGATTTCTGTTCACTTAGTGACAACAGGACGCAGAAAAATATTGTGCTCTACAGCCCTCAGGAAATCGGTGTAAACGGATAAATATGTGTGCATAAAAACAGATACACATGTATGTTATCGAACATACCTTGAATTACAGTGGAATGTTATTAATACCGCGGTGAGTCCAGTTCTGTGAACCATAATTGCTTGACAATTTTTCCTATATTTTGCATTTTCACCATGTTGATCCTGCGGGACCTGTTAAGCTACAGTTTTTTCACCAGTATAAAACCATTGTTAAGCGCGGTATTCCTGATCTGCACACAGCATGCGGGTTAGCCCAAACCGCACATGAGGCGGCCAATGTTCTTGAACAACAAGTTGGCCGTACCTTCCAAAGCGTACAATCATTATACATCCTGCCTAAGCGGATAACGCCGCCATCAGGGCTTAATCACATATCGTGCACCTTCGCAGCTGTACTGAAGAGGCTGATGTCCTTGCGGGAATACAGCTTCCCGGGTACGGACGGCATTCGCCCAAAGGCGTTGAAAGTTGCTGCCATGAGTTTGGCGGCGCCACTAGCAACTTTCTTTCAACGATGTCTGAACGAGATGCACGTCCCCACGATGTGGAAGCACGGAATCATCGTGCCAATCTACAAAAGTGGCAGCCGTGCTGAACCAAAAAATTAACGCCCGATAACACTACTTCCTGTGACCTCCAAGGTTATGGAGTTCATTGTAGCTGAGGCTTTGATGGGGTACTTGGAGAATAACAAAATTCTCGTTCCGGAGCAGCACGGATTTCGCTAAAATCGGTCCTGTACCACTAACCTGCTCATTGCTCGTGCAAGCTGGTAGGAATCTGTGGGCGCTGGTGTAGCAGTCGACGTGGCATACCTGGATTTCTCAAAGGCATTCGACCGTATAGACCATTGCATTCTACTCCACAAACTCCAGAAATATGGATTCGGCTATCCTGTTCTGGACTGGATAGGAGACTTCCTC